TTCACGATGACGTGGAAGATTCGTTCTCATTGGGCATGTCTGATTTCCTTCTTTTTTTTTTTTTTGCAGAATGTTGTTTGTTTTTTCTTGTGTTTTTTTTTTTCTTTTTTTCTTCTTCCAATGATGTACTACCGGTGCATCTAGGCTCGGCAATGATCAGGCTACCGGTCGCCTGAGCCTCGGACTTGATAGCCGGGTGAGGTACTGGTGGTTTACTTGTGAGAGGTAGCTTATAGCTATGCTTGCATGGGTCCCCTGTATAGGCTTAAGAGTAGTGGTAGGTAGATCAGAGTGAAAGGTGAAATTTAGAGAAGAATATAGTTTAGTTATTATAAAAAAGGGAGGAAAAGAACGGGGGAAAAGAAAAAACAGACAGGAAAAACAAATGAGATTAGCTGGCAGCCAGTCGCAGGCTGAAGAGCCGGACTATCCAATATTTCGATATTCTGAGACATAAACATATTTGAGGGGACGCTGGTCCCGTTTCCCAGCAGGTGCCAGGTGGTGCTGCTCTCCGGCCAAGGCCAATAGATTGGAGCCATCAGGACAGGGTTGCTTGCGGCTCTTGCTCGTATCAACACCGCCAGCACTCCCAGCTGTAAACGTTAATTCAGAAAAAAAGGACAACGAGACGAAAAAGAGACGAAAAATATGGGCTGTACAGGCTTGTCACACATCAACAACCATGTGAGACCAAATTGTCGCACATCAGAAAAAAGGAAAAAGAGACGAAAAAGAGACGAAAAGAAAGCTTAAACTGCCAGTACCTTTCCCAGACCGAAAAAAAAAAGCCCGCCGGTTAACACTGAGGCCGTCCCAGAACAGCCGCTCCGAGTCGCCGACCAGTACACATCCCAAACGCTCGGTGTGCAGGGCCCGCGGTCGACATAATATGGGAAAGGTACGGGCGGTTTAAGGGGTAAAAAACCTCCTGGGGTTAAAAACCTCCTGCAGTGGGGTCAATAACATCCTGCCAGCCTTTTGGCAAGTTTACCCTTACCCTAGAGTTTAAACTGCCAGTGCCCCTTTGTTTGAAATTCCCGTAAGTTGCCCTACTTTACATATCTCAAAAATTTTCACTTAAGAGTCTTAGACACCTTTCTCCATCTTTCACATATGTACAATAATATCCCATAGGGTTAGGGAGTGTGCTTTGTTAACAGGGGGCTCAACCTTCACTACCACAATGCCTAGTACTCGATAGCCTCTGGGTGCCAATGGAACGATTAATTGCACACACGCAACAACCGCGAGGCTGATCGCGAAATTCACCCTCTCAATGAAACCGCCAGTAGGTTCGACCCTTCCGTCGCGGAGGCCCGAAACGCACTGTGTGCCAAAACAGCATGACCCGGCTCAGACCTACCTTACGTTGGCTGGTGCTGCCAGCCATTTTGCTCCGGTAGACACTTGGAAACTTGCCGCTGCGTACTGGAAAAGCTGTAGGTAGGTAGGACTGTTGTTGGTACCTTTGAAAATTCCCATATAGATTTAGCTGCTCCAGATCTGAGGTAGCACAGCCTTCCCAGCTCCACACTGCCCAAATCGCCGTCGTTGTGCTCTGCCGCAATCGGCAAAGTATTTGTCCAGCAGCTCCTGACGATCGATCATCCTAGGAATCATCCTGACCATCAACCATCCTGGCAGTGCCGCTTCAATCTCCAGCATAGACTGTGAGTCATCTGCCCGTATGTACAGAAAGCTATCTCCCACGGATTCCGGTTGTTCCGCCCTCTCCACGGACCAATGCCCAGACTCAGTAGTAACAGCTTCTTTTTTTTTTTTTTTTTTTTTTTTTTTTTTTTTTTTTTTTTTTTTTTTTT